GACATACCTGAACCTGTGCCTTGTGGATGCCACCACATTCTTCCAGACCGTCCTGCTTTACTCACTGCTGTACTCTTGCACATGTGCAAGAGTAAAGCACTGAGGTCTATGGAGTATGCAACGGGACTGCGAGATCCTACACACACAGTGGCGTACATACCGGGGTCGCAGGGGTCGCGGCTGTGACCGGGCCCAGCCCATCATGGGGCCCGGCCACCCTGCGACCCAGTATGTACCCAGTGTGGCCAGCCTCTTCTCCTGTGGGGCCCAGGAGCCAGCCACCTCAGGGCCCCCTGAGGCTGGCCCTGGTGTCACCCGTCGGGCTGGCGGGCTAGCGAGGGAGCACTCTCCCATGAGTGCTCCCTGTTCAGCTCCCTCGTGCACCGCAGTGATACCGGAGCCAGAAGATGACGTCATCTTCCGGCTCCGGTATCAGTACGCAACGCGCGAGGGAGCTGAACAGGGAGCACTCATGGGAGAGTGCTCCCTCGCGCGCCTGCCAGCCAGCCAGCCCGCCAGCCTGCCGGGTGACACCACTGGACCCCAGGGAATCCCCTCAGCACTCCCAAAAGTAGGGAGGCTGGGGGGATTAAATTTGTAAAGTGTGTGTGTGTGTTAGTGTGTGTTAGAGTGTGTGTGTTAGTATTAGAGTGTGTGTGTGTGTGTTAGTGTATGTTAAAGTGTGTGTGTTAGTATTAGAGTGTGTGTGTGTGTTAGAGTGTGTGTGTGTGTGTGTGTGTGTGTGTTAGTGGGTTACTGTGTGTGTCTGTTAGTGAGTCTGTTTGGTGTCTGTTAGAAACTGCTTTGTTTTGAGCTACAGTGTTAAAACTAGAGGGACCTGGCACCCAGACCACTTCATTGAGCTGATGTGATCTGGGTGTCTGTAGTGGTCCTTTAAGTGTATGTGTATCTGCATGCACTGGCGTACATACCGGGGTCGCAGCCCTGCGACCCCTGCGACCAGGTGCCCGCCGCCATGTGTTGCGGCCCCTGCCCGCGCTGAGTAAGCGCGGGTGCGGGGTGCCCACGGATTAGTTTTCGCACCAGGGCCCCATGGGTTGTGTGTACGCCACTGTACACACAACTAATATCTCTGCAGCTGTCACTGAAGTAGCATATAATATAAATTAGAGACAACAAATAGAAAGAGTGTAAGCTTATTTATTTATAAAAGGATAGATTCACTCGAGCCATAGTAGAATATACAAAACAACAAGCCAACAATCAAATGAATGTTTACATCTTTGTATGCTCTTTTTAATTGTATCCAAACAAGTCTATATACTGTGATCATGAGATAACTCCACACATGTTATACACCCTATATATTCGATGCATTCTATTCTACTACCATCCTCTGCTCAATCAAATGTGAAGATTACATAATATTACCGATACTGCATTGGGACACACAACTTCTGTAGAAGTTTTAACTCCCTAAACACAGCACAATTTAAGGCCTACACTAAGCACCTGCATATTTTTTTAAATTACCTTGATGAGAATATATGTATATTGTGACTTAATTCAAGCTCCAGAGGAAAACAAAATCGCTAATGATCTGTTATTTTGAAGAGATTAGTGTTTTTATTTTGCTGGGGGAAGAGGGATTTCGGTGGGTGGAGTTGGGTCATCATCAAACTTCATATCTTTGCAGAACAGCACAGGTACTTTACCTAAGCCTAGCTGGTATTGCCAAATATACAGCTTTTTCCCGGGATCCAGGGTGGTGGTAATGGATTCCTCAACTACCGTGGCCTTGCTCCAATTTTCTCGATCTGTGTTGACACTGGATCCCCCAAACTCAGCGGTGTAGGACACCTGACACTTTGTAATCAGAGCTGATAGACCACAAGTTTCAGCAGAAACTGTAGAAGACACATTCCAGTTGGTTTCCACAGAGGACATCTTCTCATAATCATATCCAACCTTCTTGCTGACCTTCTTTGTCCAGGTAACTGGTGTCTGCGAGTCATTACTGATGGTTTTGATGCACTCCCAGACACCATATGATGAACCGTGAGTCATAGCTAAGCCTCCAGGTATGAAGTTAACTATAGATGGATGTAATGAAAATGTTTCAGCATTCTCATTAGTATTGAAGTTGGTGCATCTGAAGTACTGCATACCCCACTCATCAGTGGGCTTTACAAAGTAGTAGAATTTTTTTATACCAAAATAATAAATCCCGTTTTTGCAGTTTGCATGCAGAGAATATTCAATGCCATCTTCAAATGTATTCATGTTTTTGGTTTTACAATAAACCCCTCGGCTCTGGTAGATTGCATAGAAGTTACCAAAGGCAGACAGATAGTGGTCGCCACCCTGAAACTTGGGATGCATCGTATAGACTACAGCACCTTCATCTGTATTCATGTTGGTCACACGGCGATAACTAGTGCCCTTTATGATATAGAATAGGTCATCTTCATGGGCCAGGTAATGGTCTCCATTTCTACAGGAGGGATGTAGACTGTATATATTTATATCTTCACCTTTGTTGAAGTTTGTTGAACGCAAATAGCAGCCAAGGTCAGATCGGACAATGTATACATAATCGTCAACACCACAAAAATCCACCCCTGGGGCATCTTTCTTAGGGACAATACGAACCATGTTGGAATATCTGAGAAAACAAAGCAATATTTTGTAAGATCAAACATAACACATACAGGCAAAGGGAGAGATTATTCTCTGAATGTGCAAGCATAATGTTCTTCTGGCTATACTTGGGGCAAATCGTTACTTCCAAATTACAGGTCTATGTGATTCTATTTTGTAAAAGGTCCCATAAATGCTGTAAATAATAAACATTCAGTCTATACTCTCAAAACTATGTCAAAAGTTAGCTCTATGCTCAGAAGACAAACCTGTCTCCATTAAGTACCTTATCTGTTTCCAGTCTGAGCTGGTACGCTAAAGGGAAAGTTCAGACTATCTCATGACAATTTATCTGAGAGCCATAAGCTGACACTCACAGACAATGAATAATGGCTAGAGTTTTGCTTCAGCACCATTCTCTGATCAGCCATAATAATGCGTGACTGGTACATAGCAGTGTAATAGAGGCTCAGCCACACCACTGATACGAAGAGTTGAAAGAAGGAATCTATTGAAAATATGAGGAGGGATAGCAAGGAAAGACTCTACAATCATGAGGGCGAGAGAGAATCTGTAAGGGTGCGTAGGGAGAATAACTTTTTTTTTTTTTAAAGGAAGGGAGGGGTTAGATCCTCTAAATAAGTTGGCAGATACAGAAACTAAAAATTACCCAAGTGTAATAAGTGGGGGGATGTGATTAACAGCCAAACTGTATGCCAATGAAGTGTTATTGTGTTCTAATACAGGGATCCAAGCCCCCATTCTACCCTTAGGCAATAATGGAGTCCTCTGTGAAGCACATGGCCTTTCACCAGGCAAAACCAGTTGGTTTGTTGATAAACTCCTCCTCCATTCCCTTACAATGCAATCCCCCTTCCCC